GATGCTGGTGGCACTTCTGTGAAAATGTATCTAAGAAAGGGAAAAACACCCTTTCAAGTATTTATGCATGTTGGTAAGTTGCCCCCTGAGCTTGCTTTTGGCTGTTCTTGTGCTGGGAGGAGGTGACGCTTGAAAGTCATTAATACTGATGACATATTACATGAGCAGCTATTCAATTTCCCTTCTTCCCTTGGGTTTTTCTGTTAAACTCTCCAGTGCTTTAGGAGCTGGCAAGTGTACCAGCAGAAATGCCTTTCCAGCTCACCTTTGGCCATGGTGTGGGGCAGCACTCACTAGCTTATAGCTAGGACTAACCTCTATCTTGTCGTTTCCCAAAGCAGCGCTGTGAGCCACAGACAAGAAACAATTCTGTGTTTGGTTCCAGGACATGGGCCACAGGGACTTCTGAGAGACACAGGCCTGCCCAGAAGCCCAGTTCATCAGACAAAGGGTGTGAGGCTCAGGGTTGTCAGTGTTCTCATCAGCCATATTCCACGAAGCCTGACCTTCTCTGTGAGTCCATACACACAAATCGCCTCCAAGTGATGGCTCATACTAGTCTGCCATCTCATTTTATTTAAAAAAGAAAACAAAAAAAAGTCTCCCTATGGAAGTATTCAGCTTTAGAAAACACACACAGATCAGGCTCCTAACAAAATCTCATTATTTCCCATGGTAGAGTAAGTTGGTGGAAAAGGGTGAAGGAGAGAGGACTTGCTCTGCCCCTGGTCACAACTATTTCATGAAATATCCGTTTTTCTGATTCAAAAATTACACAGTGCCATCTAACCAAGAGCAAAAGGGAAGGGAAAAGTCAAAATAGATCAGTAATCAGGAGCTGTAAAGTATTGCCATCCACAGCACTTTGACTCCACATCACAATTGGAAGCTTTTAATATTACAGCATGAGCTTTAGCCCAGAAAAGTGGCAGAAGGAATGTAGTGAATAAAAACCATCTCTTACCAACAGTCTGTGTAAATATTACGCATGTGTTGGAAGGGGTAGTGAGACTCGCTCAACCAAGCCAGATAAACTAGAGCTTCTCTTCCCTCCGAGCAACAGAAGTAACCCGCAGAAGACCTGCTTTAACAGCCAGTCCCACACATAAGCCATTTACAAACAAGCCAAAATTTAAGCCTCCCTACACCGGATGGTGTTTTCACATTTGTCTTCCAAATGTATTTTTCATTGCATGCTTGTACATGTGAGTCATGTACAACTTCAGGTGCACAGAATGAGATTATAAATGCCGACAACAGCCAAAGTAGGAGATAACAAGCAACCTTCCACCAATAATAGCCAAAATCTCTAACTATGAAACTACTGGCAGCTGTATCAGAGATTGTACTGGGGTAGGACCTCAACGTACTCAACGTACTCCAGGAAGCTACCAGACACACCAACGTTGAACTGTTTGGTAATTCAGGGAAGCAGAATAAGATGACAAAAAAAAATAAAATTGTCATTCAGGATCTATATGAATAGTTGAACTCCAGCCCCTAGGGTTAAAGAGCAAACACCTTATAATTCATTATGCCACTCAGCCAGCCAGTTTCACAAACACAAGTAACAAGTCATTCCAGCTCTTAGTGCTATTTGTTTTAGGTACATTGATCCTGAGAGAGTTCTCCTGGTGGTGTCGAAGGCTGTATCCACAGGGCTTCAGAGGAATGCAAAGTTTGATATTAGGGGATTATTAAACATTCTGAGTTATGTCTTGAGCTGGTGTAAATTAACACAGCTCCATGGAAACAAATAAAAAAAACTCAGCCTATGCCAGCTAAGAATTCAGCCCACAGTCTCCATGCAAAAGAAATAATTTTTCTTCTAAAATGGACATTAAAAGCTGGGATTTGCTCTGCCTATTTCTAATGCCATCTTCTTCCTGAACCACAGGCTATGACAGGAGCTCAAAGACAACCAGGAACAGAATTTTTTTTATCATTAATATCAGCAGAAGTCTCAGCGGGTCTAAAGGCAGAGATGTCTTTCTGGATAAGATCAAAGAATCATGAATATTTGTTTGAGGATTATCTGTATTTATTTAAATCTTAGAAGCACTTTCCAATCCTATGCTGCTCATTCAATTCAAACAGATTGTATTTTTTTTCACCTCTCCCAACCCCAGTGCTATTCTTCCTCTGTTCTGGTCTCTAAAAACAGAATGATGACACTTTTCCTCCCATAAATCCTCTCCCAGGTCTCAATATTCAGCTTACTCCTCAGTCCTCCTGAGGGTAGAGAAGGGTCCTTTGACAAATCTGAAGTAACTCTTTCCGTGGATTTCAGGGCAGATAAGAATAAAGTTACAATTTCCCTTATAGACGTGGAAAGTTAGAAACCTTTACAACATTGAACAGATATTCCTGTGAAGAGAGGACTCTCCCAATTCCCCAAAGACTCATACCATAATTAAATTGGCTATTCAGCTTCTCACAGTTGATAATGTTGAAGCGATAGGGAACTGCTAATTTCATATCTCGGACTTCAAAGTAGAACCACTGGTGATGGTGGTTGCTGTTGATGTCTGCATTCATAATTAAGTCATACTCAAATCTGTTAAGGAAGACCAGAAAAAAAAATGTTGGTCATGAACACCCCACCAGTCACTGAAGCTGCTGAGAAGAGCAGGTTATACCATCAAATTCATTAATATCCTCCAAGAGTCAAACACCACCATCAAACTAGCGGCGCCCAAACACACCATTAAATACTCACACTTTGTTAGTCACGTCAAAACGTTAAGTTCTGCTTTCTCACTCCTATTACTTTCATGACAATTAGGTGTTGTTACATCAAACTCTGTGTCAGAAAACCTGCTTCCCTGGCCAACCTTTTCCAAACCCAGGAGAACTCCACCATTCCACGCTGTGGTCACAGCAGAAGGGCTGGTTGGGCCACAGCTGCTGCAGGCATACTTACTCACGCACTTGGATGGCTTTGCGAAGGTTTCCCGATTCAAACTTGGAGAAGAATGTCAGACAGCCTGGAGCACCTGGGCTTGAGTGACTGCAGTAAATCAAAACAAGGATACCTGTACTTTGCTACAAAGACAGTCTTCCCTGGCACATTTTGTACACTAATATATTTTTTTGTAATTTTTTTTATAAGCAAGACTCTGAGAAGTAGCAAGAGGTGAGTAAATCCATAATCTTCCTATTCAATGCAGCATCCTTCCCTACTCTTGTTTAGTATTTCTAAATTGGACTATTGGAGTATTTTGGACTCGATGATCCCGAGGGTCTCTTCCAGTCTAGATGATTCTGTAAATGTCATCATCTTTTCCTTTCCCAGTGCTCCCTTTTGTCCCACTTCATATTTACTTTCTTTATTCCAGTTACTTTCCCCACTGAGTTACTCCCATTACCTTATTAATTGCACGAGGCAGCTCTATACAATTACTATACATTTACTCTTCCCTCATCTATATAGTTTCCTTCTCCTTAATCTTAGAAACCCTTAAATTTATCTTGAACAAATTCATAACTCTCCTATCTCAAACTGTCCCTCTTTTTTTTTTCCCTCTAAAGAACACGCCAGGTCACTCATCCTTCCTCTGAAAGCAATTTCTTCATATTTGGGACCCTCTCAACTGGCTTATACTACATCTTCTCAAGGACCACAATTTCTGGCCATAGTTGGGCTCTTAAAACAGTTCACTCAACTGGATGTTTGTTTTCAGAAACCTTCTGTAAGCATCACACCTTTCAGAGTGCACCCACGACCTGTGACTCTCACCATACAGACACTCAAGTGCAGTCCCAGTGGGAAATGTTGCTTCAGGGTGCGGAGAGACCGTGCCTGGATTTATAGATGTAATTCCCTGCCTCAGATCCAGTGCTTCTCTTCCAAATCACTATGTGCAATGCACAAATATCCAGGGACACCATATAGCCCCTTTTGTGTATAGATTTTCTTGTTCTAGCTAAGTTTTGAGGCTCTCTTGCTCCAGTGACTTCCAAAATAAATCCTCTCCCCAGAGCTACATCCTAGGAATTCTCCTGTATATTTTTCCAGTTTGGCCTTTGAGAAAATAAACCAGGGTTCATTGAACCTACTGAAACCCTAAGCTCTGTGCTTGTCTCCTTTGACTGTAATAACCAGAATGAATCAGGGATCAGTTTTCTGCTTGGAAATGAGATATTCAACTCAGAATGTTTCTCACATAAGATAAGCCCCAGCTCAGATATAACTTAGATGAGACTGATCTAGTGTTTTTCTTCCAAGGTTCTGACACTGAAGAAACAGCCTGAAATGAGGAACTTGCATAAATACCAGCACTGAGTTTGTCAGATCTCCTTTACACCACTCTTGCCTGGCTCCAGAATAAAGACAAAAGTTCCCATAGGACAGTGAGTAAGGCTAATCCTTACTGCTTCTGCCATCAGGACAAGGTCCGTATGCATGGGTCACAGACCAGTTTGCCTCCTAGGATTTGAGTTCCAGCTTTGCACAGAAGGGAAGCTAGTGAAGATACCAAGGTATCTGCAAATAAAGTAAATGTGCATTTGTATATCTGTATATTTCCATTTCTACATACATATTTATATAGATGTATATAGCATATACACATATACACCCACCCCTGAATACCTCTATGTATATGCCAACCCTTTCTTTAGCTCCTCAGCTCCTACATTGCTTACAAAAGTCAGTGTATGCAAAAGAAAAACAATGATCCCATTCAGCCCATTTCTTCCTGAACAGGAGAAAAAGCTGCCTAATGCTACCCAAGGTTTGAGCACTCCCCGTTCCCTTTCCTCCTGCCGGGGCAGTGAATTCTGCACATGCCCCGTTTCTCCCCAGGCATCAAATATAGAGATCTCACTTGGAGCTGTTTCCTGAAGCTGGAAGCACGTAACACATTGAACTAGCACCAATTTAGAGACACATGAAACAGGTGGCACTGGTGGCCAAAGGTTAACAACATCAATACAGTTAATGGGAGGGGAACAGAGGGGAAAGGAAGCCACAAATGATTCACCAAAAATGCACTTACTTGTAGTAGCAGATATCATGGCCTGCCCGAAGCCAGCGAGGCCGGCCCTGGAGAGCTTCCTTCACTGAGTACATGACCAGCTGCATGCCTACATAAAACAAGACAGTTTCAAGTGACACAACTTCCCTGGCTGGAAAAGACAGGGGTGGGGAGGAAAAGGCTAAACAAGAAGCATCCTTATTTTGTCTGTGCTCTCTCCACAGATAGTTTATGCAAAGTAAATATATTTCCCAAAGCCCCATGCTTTGTTCTAATATAGCCATGCCTGTACAAAAAGCACTTCCAGAAAAAATGAGCTGAATGCAGTTCATTAGAAAATTAATTATCCAACTGGTTTTTGCAAAGGAGGACTTCAACCCTCCCTGTTTACAACCAGAGGAAGGGAAAGAAAAGAATAGGAATCGAGATATAACAAAATCAGTAATATCATTAGTCCAATATTTTATGCCTGGCTGCACCATTGTTGAATCCTTAATCCTCTCCATTAGAGATCTGCAGCGCATCTGGTACCGTACAGAAAGTAGCAAGCAAAACTAGAAAAAGGTTTTAAATTTTCCATTAGACCTAAATCATAGAATGGTTCAGGTTGGAAGGGACCCTAAAGATCATCGAGTTCCAAGCCCCTGTCATGGGCAGGGATATGTCCCACTAGACCAGGTTGCTCAAAGCTCCATCCAGCCTGGTCTTGACCACTCCCAGAGATTGGGCAGCCACAGCTTCTCTGGCCAACCTGTTCCAGTGCCTCACCACCCTCACAGTAAAGAATTTCTTCCTAACATCTAATCTAAATCTCCCCTCTTTAATACCTATGTGTCATAAATGCTGATAAAAATAACATCCATCTTTGTACCATATTATGCCAGAAGATTACTTCTTCCTGACCTCCAAAATATTATCGTTTCATGCCCTGAGGTACAAAGCTTTCTCTGATCTGAGCTGTGTATAAATTACTCACAGCTCCATGAAGCCAGCCCATCCATAGACAGTTTTTGCGTCAAATTCCTTTACTCTACTCACCTGCCTGTTCTTTTACAGCTACAGTAAGGATCCTGCCCTCACCAGTGAAGGTCTCTGCATGGGGTGTCCCTGGCAAGGTCCTGGCAGCCACAGGGGTGGCTTCTGCCCTGGGGCAGTGCCAGCCAGGTCCAACAGACCCAGGCGAGCCACAGCTGAGCCCAGCAGTGATGCTGGTGGCACTTCTGTGAAAATGTATCTAAGAAAGGGAAAAACACCCTTTCAAGTATTTATGCATGTTGGTAAGTTGCCCCCTGAGCTTGCTTTTGGCTGTTCTTGTGCTGGGAGGAGGTGACGCTTGAAAGTCATTAATACTGATGACATATTACATGAGCAGCTATTCAATTTCCCTTCTTCCCTTGGGTTTTTCTGTTAAACTCTCCGGTGCTTTAGGAGCTGGCAAGTGTACCAGCAGAAATGCCTTTCCAGCTCACCTTTGGCCATGGTGTGGGGCAGCACTCACTAGCTTATAGCTAGGACTAACCTCTATCTTGTCGTTTCCCAAAGCAGCGCTGTGAGCCACAGACAAGAAACAATTCTGTGTTTGGTTCCAGGACATGGGCCACAGGGACTTCTGAGAGACACAGGCCTGCCCAGAAGCCCAGTTCATCAGACAAAGGGTGTGAGGCTCAGGGTTGTCAGTGTTCTCATCAGCCATATTCCACGAAGCCTGACCTTCTCTGTGAGTCCATACACACAAATCGCCTCCAAGTGATGGCTCATACTAGTCTGCCATCTCATTTTATTTAAAAAAGAAAACAAAAAAAAGTCTCCCTATGGAAGTATTCAGCTTTAGAAAACACACACAGATCAGGCTCCTAACAAAATCTCATTATTTCCCATGGTAGAGTAAGTTGGTGGAAAAGGGTGAAGGAGAGAGGACTTGCTCTGCCCCTGGTCACAACTATTTCATGAAATATCCGTTTTTCTGATTCAAAAATTACACAGTGCCATCTAACCAAGAGCAAAAGGGAAGGGAAAAGTCAAAATAGATCAGTAATCAGGAGCTGTAAAGTATTGCCATCCACAGCACTTTGACTCCACATCACAATTGGAAGCTTTTAATATTACAGCATGAGCTTTAGCCCAGAAAAGTGGCAGAAGGAATGTAGTGAATAAAAACCATCTCTTACCAACAGTCTGTGTAAATATTACGCATGTGTTGGAAGGGGTAGTGAGACTCTCTCAACCAAGCCAGATAAACTAGAGCTTCTCTTCCCTCCGAGCAACAGAAGTAACCCGCAGAAGACCTGCTTTAACAGCCAGTCCCACACATAAGCCATTTACAAACAAGCCAAAATTTAAGCCTCCCTACACCGGATGGTGTTTTCACATTTGTCTTCCAAATGTATTTTTCATTGCATGCTTGTACATGTGAGTCATGTACAACTTCAGGTGCACAGAATGAGATTATAAATGCCGACAACAGCCAAAGTAGGAGATAACAAGCAACCTTCCACCAATAATAGCCAAAATCTCTAACTATGAAACTACTGGCAGCTGTATCAGAGATTGTACTGGGGTAGGACCTCAACGTACTCAACGTACTCCAGGAAGCTACCAGACACACCAACGTTGAACTGTTTGGTAATTCAGGGAAGCAGAATAAGATGACAAAAAAAAATAAAATTGTCATTCAGGATCTATATGAATAGTTGAACTCCAGCCCCTAGGGTTAAAGAGCAAACACCTTATAATTCATTATGCCACTCAGCCAGCCAGTTTCACAAACACAAGTAACAAGTCATTCCAGCTCTTAGTGCTATTTGTTTTAGGTACATTGATCCTGAGAGAGTTCTCCTGGTGGTGTCGAAGGCTGTATCCACAGGGCTTCAGAGGAATGCAAAGTTTGATATTAGGGGATTATTAAACATTCTGAGTTATGTCTTGAGCTGGTGTAAATTAACACAGCTCCATGGAAACAAATAAAAAAAACTCAGCCTATGCCAGCTAAGAATTCAGCCCACAGTCTCCATGCAAAAGAAATAATTTTTCTTCTAAAATGGACATTAAAAGCTGGGATTTGCTCTGCCTATTTCTAATGCCATCTTCTTCCTGAACCACAGGCTATGACAGGAGCTCAAAGACAACCAGGAACAGAATTTTTTTTATCATTAATATCAGCAGAAGTCTCAGCGGGTCTAAAGGCAGAGATGTCTTTCTGGATAAGATCAAAGAATCATGAATATTTGTTTGAGGATTATCTGTATTTATTTAAATCTTAGAAGCACTTTCCAATCCTATGCTGCTCATTCAATTCAAACAGATTGTATTTTTTTTCACCTCTCCCAACCCCAGTGCTATTCTTCCTCTGTTCTGGTCTCTAAAAACAGAATGATGACACTTTTCCTCCCATAAATCCTCTCCCAGGTCTCAATATTCAGCTTACTCCTCAGTCCTCCTGAGGGTAGAGAAGGGTCCTTTGACAAATCTGAAGTAACTCTTTCCGTGGATTTCAGGGCAGATAAGAATAAAGTTACAATTTCCCTTATAGACGTGGAAAGTTAGAAACCTTTACAACATTGAACAGATATTCCTGTGAAGAGAGGACTCTCCCAATTCCCCAAAGACTCATACCATAATTAAATTGGCTATTCAGCTTCTCACAGTTGATAATGTTGAAGCGATAGGGAACTGCTAATTTCATATCTCGGACTTCAAAGTAGAACCACTGGTGATGGTGGTTGCTGTTGATGTCTGCATTCATAATTAAGTCATACTCAAATCTGTTAAGGAAGACCAGAAAAAAAAATGTTGGTCATGAACACCCCACCAGTCACTGAAGCTGCTGAGAAGAGCAGGTTATACCATCAAATTCATTAATATCCTCCAAGAGTCAAACACCACCATCAAACTAGCGGCGCCCAAACACACCATTAAATACTCACACTTTGTTAGTCACGTCAAAACGTTAAGTTCTGCTTTCTCACTCCTATTACTTTCATGACAATTAGGTGTTGTTACATCAAACTCTGTGTCAGAAAACCTGCTTCCCTAGCCAACCTTTTCCAAACCCAGGAGAACTCCACCATTCCACGCTGTGGTCACAGCAGAAGGGCTGGTTGGGCCACAGCTGCTGCAGGCATACTTACTCACGCACTTGGATGGCTTTGCGAAGGTTTCCCGATTCAAACTTGGAGAAGAATGTCAGACAGCCTGGAGCACCTGGGCTTGAGTGACTGCAGTAAATCAAAACAAGGATACCTGTACTTTGCTACAAAGACAGTCTTCCCTGGCACATTTTGTACACTAATATAGTTTTTTGTAATTTTTTTTATAAGCAAGACTCTGAGAAGTAGCAAGAGGTGAGTAAATCCATAATCTTCCTATTCAATGCAGCATCCTTCCCTACTCTTGTTTAGTATTTCTAAATTGGACTATTGGAGTATTTTGGACTCGATGATCCCGAGGGTCTCTTCCAGTCTAGATGATTCTGTAAATGTCATCATCTTTTCCTTTCCCAGTGCTCCCTTTTGTCCCACTTCATATTTACTTTCTTTATTCCAGTTACTTTCCCCACTGAGTTACTCCCATTACCTTATTAATTGCACGAGGCAGCTCTATACAATTACTATACATTTACTCTTCCCTCATCTATATAGTTTCCTTCTCCTTAATCTTAGAAACCCTTAAATTTATCTTGAACAAATTCATAACTCTCCTATCTCAAACTGTCCCTCTTTTTTTTTTCCCTCTAAAGAACACGCCAGGTCACTCATCCTTCCTCTGAAAGCAATTTCTTCATATTTGGGACCCTCTCAACTGGCTTATACTACATCTTCTCAAGGACCACAATTTCTGGCCATAGTTGGGCTCTTAAAACAGTTCACTCAACTGGATGTTTGTTTTCAGAAACCTTCTGTAAGCATCACACCTTTCAGAGTGCACCCACGACCTGTGACTCTCACCATACAGACACTCAAGTGCAGTCCCAGTGGGAAATGTTGCTTCAGGGTGCGGAGAGACCGTGCCTGGATTTATAGATGTAATTCCCTGCCTCAGATCCAGTGCTTCTCTTCCAAATCACTATGTGCAATGCACACATATCCAGGGACACCATATAGCCCCTTTTGTGTATAGATTTTCTTGTTCTAGATAAGTTTTGAGGCTCTCTTGCTCCAGTGACTTCCAAAATAAATCCTCTCCCCAGAGCTACATCCTAGGAATTCTCCTGTATATTTTTCCAGTTTGGCCTTGACCTCTAGGTTATTTCTTCTATACCTTTATCAAAGCTGAGCAAGTAAACGGAGCTGACTACCTCACCCAGCACTGACAGTGCCCCTGGTTACAGTACTCAATTTATTACCTACCTGGGCTCGTCTAAATCAAAAACAGTTCTGCCTATCACATCACCTGGCTGGATTAAGCGGCGAACATCATCTAGTACTTTGTTCCTGGGGAAAGAAAAAAAAAAAATAAAAATTGTAACGACACTGTGAGAAATCTTGGTATAGGGTAATTTTGCAGAGGAAGTATGAAGAGGCTTAAGAAACTCTTTTGAAGGATGGAAAAAAAAGAGGACTTCTATGTCTATTTCCAGGTGAACTTCATTTGTATATTTATTCTATTACTGTTTTTACCATGAGAAAGTTCCTGCTCCATTCCGTTACAACAAGATGCCTTTTGGGTTAAATGACTGATTCTGTAAAATTTTTATTCTTTACGGTGCTCTGTCAATCTTTATTTATCCCCAGTTCTTCCCAGTCAATGTCAATCTCCCAAACGGCCAGCCTTGCCCCGCGAGGAAATAGCTGCCATAAACCTACTACTCTGTCGTGTAGTGAATGTTGACTCTAAATCAAGCTAATTTCTACTCATTATTAAACTGAAGTTCTCTGATCTCTAAAGGTGATCAAATGTGGAACACCAGATTTTCTTCCTGACCTTTGCAGCAATCATGTTATGCCCTGAAGCTTGATATGATTATTCCCATTTTAGCTGTACAGTTACACATGTTATTACAGTCATAAAAGTAAATCTTTTAGAGCAACAGTGCAAGGAGAAGATGGTAGAGTGATTTTACCTCTAAATAAGATTTTCAGCTTTTATATTTGCTGCAGAAACAACCGTTATCTCCCTAGAGGTCAGAAATTAGCAGCCTTCACAAACACCATTTGATTAGGGTTGACCAACTTTAAAGTTTAGCACAGAATCCAGCCTCTTTGGTATCTACTAATAATTCCCTATGCCACTAAAAGGAAAGACAGAGTCATTGCACACAGCCACATGTGGAACAGACAAAAAGGTAGTCATAAGAAGAGCTTCCTCTCCCAGCACAGCTTCAAAATACAGCTTTTTCCTCATCTGAAGTCCTGAAACAACAGGAGAAAAACAGTAGCCTCTAGCAGTGTGCCATAGGGGAGATCTGCTCTTCTTTCTTTCTGCGTGTTGCATGCCATATACGTTGTCTTCTAGTAGGCTGGCCAGCAGGAAGGGAAAGCAGCTTACTTACCTTGTCCCCACTGATGCTCTCTAGCTCATGAGGGACTTCCCAGAAGCAGGTGCACGTGCTAGGGGAGGAGGAGAAGCTTCTGGAGGACCCCATGGAGCAGGCAGAGAGAAGGGGGGACACAGCAGCAGAAGGGTAGACAGGGAGATTCCCAAGAACAGCCTGACACAGACACACAGCTCCAAGAGGACAGAATGGATATTTCCTTACAAAGCCAGATGGGACCATCGTTGCACACACTAAAGGCAGCTGGATTAAGAGGAAGACTGAAGGCAAAAACACATCCCAAAAGGACAGAGTCTTCTCCATCTCAAAAATGAGCCTGTTCTCATTTGTGTTCTAAAAAGGTCACAGATTCACAGCTTATTCTCGGTTTTGGTCCACTTACTTCAGGGAAAAGCCACTAGTAAACCTATATCAGAGCTTTGACCAGTTTAGAGTCCCATCGTATACACAGATACTTTTATCAATAACTAGTTTAATCAATAACAATTTGGAATATGAGAGAGGTGAGTCTTTATGGATTCACAGAAACCATAAAAATCTCACTGCGAGGTTGCCTCTACCACCTTCACCAATGAGACAAAGAAAGCAGCTCACAGAGTTCACAGTTTACCCACTGACACACAGAAAATCCATGTCAGAGATAGGAAATAAGCCTGCTGATTCTTAATCCTGTTCATAATCCAGTTAGATACCATTTTCCTTTCCTCAGGAGGAAAATCTAAATAAAACCATCCTGTTTGGCCTATCTCCTTGCAGCAAATCACTGAATAGCCCAAAACTCATTCTATAACTTCCTAAAACATTCAGAGATGTGAGAATCAGAACCTACAGAAACCAAATCTTGAGCCTGAGGGCTCTAGCTGTGGCAATTAATATTAAAGCACAATCACCTTTGAACCCCATACTTGCGCTCCAACATGGGCTTGCTGTAAGGAGGTGGCTGGTGACCCCAGAAATCAGGAAATGCCACATCTTTGTAGTCTGGTATGGACTTCACACATTTGGCCCTAGCTATGTAGAAGCGAGGGCTGTGGAACGGGATATTCCCTTGGTGTTTCTCCAGAAGATTTGTCACTGTGTCTGAGCTCTCCAACCTCCCTCCAGGACTAGGACTGATTGAGGCCTCACATTCAGGGTAAAACATTTTTTGGTACCAAGCAGCCTCTTTTGGGAGGGGACACAAAGTAAGTGCATGATTCCTGGCTGGATCTTCCCCTTTACAGGAGTCTTCATCTTGGGCTGCTTCTACAGTGTCTCTCTTTTCATCAGTCAAATCCCATTTGCATTTTTCCTTCTTTGTCCAGCTCTGCTGTGGGACTTCGAAACCCTTTTCTCTTGGATCTGGTCCCATCTCTGTGACACTTTGGTTTCTCCATCTGCAGTTTGGATGTTTCACAGAAGTAGCACTTGGAATGAAATGAGAGGGAGTAGAGGGAAGACTCTCAGTCCTGTCCTCCAAGCTCTTCTCTTCCTCAGATTCTGATTCAAGCTCCTTTAAATTTAAAAAGCAGAAGAAATTAAAAGAAACTGAAGACAGATTGTGCCTCCTTCCAGAGAAAATCTTTCAAGGAAGAAAGAAAAAAATATTTACAAATCTCCCAAAACTCATCCAATAAGACAGTCAGAGTAAAATCAGTCCCATGGACCACCTGCCAGAATTTCTTTATCCACAAAGCTGTTTCAACAGTAGTCCTTAGAAACTAAAAGGATCAGACTGAGTCATCTGGGTGAGTCATCTCCAACCAAAGATGATTGTTCTAACAAATTAGGGAAGAAAAATCACAAAGCATTTTTTCAGAACATAAATGTTCCAGCAAGGTAGAGGAGGCCAATCTGTCGTGGAAAACTCCACCCCTGCCTTCATGCAAGTGTATAAATTAATCCTATTTGGCTACTTATGGTCATAATTAGTGTCACAGCATTTTGTCTACCGGAGATACATAAGTCAGTGGTCCTTTCCAGATTCATATTGGAATGACGGCTTTCAGCTCTCCTAAATTCCAAGACTTGTAATGAGTGCAATACTTCCTTTCATTTTTTGTCCCAAACTACAACAGAACAATGATTTGAACAGTGCATTTCACTCAGCGGCAGTGCAATCTTCTCTATCACTTCCTTCAAAACACTAGTTGACAGTATTTATTTTCCACTTCTCATTCTGATCTTGATATTGCCGTTGAAATTTCCAGCAAGGATACAAATTATTATCTGACAGATTTTTCATGTGGCAATTGATTCAATAGTCCCTAGTTAATCCATACAGCCGAATGTGCACAAAACAACATCACTCTCGGTTCTTGATTCACACCAATACACTACACCAAAAAGTCTTAATCTTTGATTTTCTAGTCCTATAAGATATTTACATTTCCTTTTGCAATAGACTTGTCTAGTTATCTCTTGTTAGTACTCTTTCAAGTACACATTAAACTCTTGAATGTTCACAAATAAAGGAAACCATACCATGATAGTACCTGAAAATTATGGGAGAGTTCTGGACACATTGCTTCATATTGTCCAAGCTCTTCCTCTGGCCGGTCAAGCACTGCCCTTGACCTCAACTTGTTCACGTCTGTCTCCAAGTCATAATCCTACAAAAGCAGAATTAGAATAGCATGAATATTAAACATGCCCCACAAGATGACTGTTAAAGTAATATTCTGGATAATACCTTTGATTTCTAATGATATCATACTCCTTTAATAAGTCCCATAACTGTTCTTTCCATACTCATGAAGGCTGTTAAAGTCATTTTATGGAAGACAGGGGCGCAACAGGAAAGACTACACCATGAAAAAGGGGAATTTGATGTTTTGGTATTTGAGTCCCTAAGTAGTGATACCATGAAAAGATAGTTTCAAAAAAGCATCAAGCCTGAAATTTTAACTTTTTTATAAGCACTTCATCTTGGCAGGTTTCAAAATAAGAAACACCAACAACTATTAGTTATTTATGAGCATATGAACTATTCCCTTGCTTATGTTGTGTAAACCAGTAAGCACAGGTCCTCAAGATACAATCGGTAATATTCTTATTCAAAGAAACAACAATCAAACAAATGTATATTTAGCAAGAAACTTCTCTAAGTATATCAAAGGCAAAATTGTCCTTATAGGCTATCAGCAAAATTAGAAAGCTTGACACTTCTGTCTTTGATTTAGGCAACCATGTGATTCCTCTGAGTGCCTACCAATCCAACAGAAAAACCCACATCTGTATCATTGAACTTGCGGGCACCAATTGCTTATATTTTATTTTTATCTCTGAATGCTGCTTATAAAAATCTGTGAAACTCTTGCTCAATCCATCTTATATACTCTCCAACTTTCTTGATATTTTTATAGAGAAAAAAGCTTTTTAGATCTCTACTATCAGCGAATCAGGGATAAGAACTGTATCTGAAACTTTCACAGTCAAAGGCCACTGTGCATTGATGGTGCAGCCTCCTCCGTATCAGATACAAGAACCAAAACCAAACTGTGTCAAGCATTCAGTCATTGCACAAGAAACTAGGAAGAGGAGGATGGAGACTGGTGACTGGCCATTACACTACATTATTCAAATAATTCAACATATCATTAGTAAGTATTCCCCACCAAATGCCAGCAAAATAGAGATTTGCTCTGGATAAATAGACACATTTCCAAAGCCATTATCAAAAGAAAAAAATAAAAATTGCCAGAATGCAAAAGCATCCATGGCATTTCAAACCTTGAACCACACTTGTATTGCAAAGCAGAGTTTGAGCTGCTGTTTGGGCCCAGTTGAAAAGGCAATGAAGAGCTGCACAGAGTATTTGAGATCAGTTTAAAAGGATTTGCCAGTAACAGCTCAATGATGCATAAGCAGTTTCAAACTTGAAGATATGAGTTGGGAAGGATAGATGGTTGATGTGATGATTTTGATTTTCATAAAACTGTCTGAACAGTTACTGATAGAAGTGCAGAGCTAAGTTTCAGTTTGGTTGGTGTTACTAGTATGCACAAATACACGTTATGTACCTGTGAAAACGTTTGTAAATCATATCAATATCAGGAAACATTTTGCAAGTGATATCTGATACAAAAAAGGTAAAGTGAAAGTTCATTATCCATTCCCTGCTTGTTTTCACTTTAGAAAGATTTGTCACGGGTGATATACGACCAGCAGACCAGACAAACAGTACTTTAAACTCATACTCAGAGTTGGCTCTTTGGCAAAAAAGCTCTGCTCATACCTACTTGATAAATCTTTATGAATAATAAAATAGTTCAGAGGCATATAGGATCTGTTTCTGAATTAATAACTAATTAAAGAGGGAGATAAATTCACTATGAACCTTATTCATAATAAGCATCTTGACAAGCTCTAATATTCAGATAAAAACAGACAAACAGGGGCAAGTTAGGACACTTTTTAACTTCCTTTTTTTCATTGGGTGACATCAGTTTAATTCTTGAGGAGAAAAAGACCCAGCAAGCAATGAAAACACCCTTCCATAGAAGTCTCAATCATATCTAATTAGACCATATTTGCAACTTCATTTCTTTAATTTGCCTTCCCAAACCACTTTATGTGGATAAGACTTATTAGCAGCATTCACTGCTTCACATTTGCATATGTGCTTGTATATATTTTCACAACAAAAAATTGTGCACTCTCATCCTCAGCTGTTTGGTTTTTTGCCAGTTAGGTCATGCCAGGCAGAGTGCAAAGGGTGAAGTCAGAATTCTTGACTAATTCATTATATTATTTGTCTGTGCACAGCAGCAAATAAAGAAGGAATCCAGGTTCAAACAGCCCAGCTGTGGCTTAAAAGAACTAACCTTTTTCTTAGGGTAGGTCCACAGCCCAAGTATGCTCCAATATGGGAAGGAGAAGAGGGTTAATCTTTCCTAGATGACAGTTCATTTTTCCCTAAGTGACATTTCTGGTCTATACACCTAGACAAATCAAAGATTCATCATTTATCCCTGACTGTACATGTGATTCTAATAGTCACTGGTCAGTCTCTCTGCAGAGAGACTCACCAAACCCTCACCATCCTGGGTGACAAGTATGGCAATTAAGATAAATGCAAAGGTCTCTCTTCAGCGGAAGTCAGTGCTTTCTCTTTTTCTTCTTTCAAGTATCTTTCTATTATTTTATTATTCATGTAGTGTATTTATGAGAGACCACATGTGTATCTACATGCTCTGCTTAGCTTATCAGGATGTCAAAACAGACAATGAAGAGTTTTACTTTCCAGTATATGAACGATTAAGGAAACCATGGCTCATATACCTACCTCCTCCTTATTCTCCAAATTCTCATTATTTTCAGCCTCTTCCTCTCCATCACTCTCGTAGCCACCTGCAGCAGTAGTAAAGAGGTAGAGGTAAAGGCTTTCATCTTAATATTTCTCTCTGGCTTTTGACAGAAATATGTGCAATCTCTCCTGTGTGTGCCACATGCCTTCAAACTACAATCCACCACAACCCTGATTAAAGCAGATACCATTTGTTAATTTAGTATAAATGAATTTGGCACTAAACCTCCCACTTTTTAAAGCTCTGTTCTCTTGGATTTGAGCATTGCCTTTCAAAACCATGCACAAATCCATGATATGGATCCAACTCGTATTACAAAGCAATACAGCGATTTTCTGCTTGGCTGCAACGATATTACAGGATGCTCTTAATCTATATTATCTAGATTAGGGTGTTTTACTGCTATCATCATTATAGTATTTGAAAATCTTCCATATGAAACTGAAAACCACAGAGAAATTGCTTGTGTGTATCATGGAGTCTACCATTTCTCCTTCTCTGTAGAGTGGCTATCCTGCTTATGCTTAAGTTTTGCTTTCCAGCCAAGTACTCACACCTTTTACTCATGCAGTGTGACCACTATCTGCTTTTATTTTAGAAAGGAAAAAGGATAATACTTTTTGCAATTCTGTACTGAAAAAGCTACAGGGCAGTGATCCCCCCACAAACAGTCATGCACAGGCACAACTGTCTCTCTCTCTGTTGTTGTTGTGGAGCAATGGCATCTTCAGCCTCTGCCATGCTCACTCCATTCCATTATTTTTTGGATAACAGAAAGATTTTTTTCTCCCGGGTCCTTTTAATTTTCTCTCATTTATTCTCTAAACAGAATCTCCAAGCTTTGAGAAGACCTATGAATAATTTCATGACTACTGAGTGACACTGTAGACCATCAGATCAATTTTAACTGTAAGTCTCAGGACTAGGCCGCCAAGACTCTCTTCCCGAGATCCCACATTTCATTCTCGCATCCGGCTCCTTTTCCTCCTACTGAATTCACCTTTTAGTCATTTATTTACCTTCATACCCCTCACATGGAGGTTCAGCCTTGGCGTTCCCAGGAAGTGGGAAGGAATAGGAACTTCTTACTGTCGCCACAGGCAGAGGCTCCTTGGGAAAGCACTTTCTCAGAATCTGAGTTGCAGTGTTTATGATAGGATCCAGATTTTTGCAAAACAAACAGTCCTAGGAATGAAAGGAGAACAATGTTAAGAATTGTCTCTTACAATTGTCCTCCTATTACACACAATCCCCCAGAGCAGAGGCATTCTTCTGATTGGAATATGAAATTCTTACGTTTATGGCTTTTTTCCCTGCTCCCTCCTCGTTTTCGGTTCCACCCCCCAAAACACACCTTTTTTTTACCATAAAAGAAATACATCTGGAACAACCTTAAGTTCTTGCAGACAATTTCTTACAGAAATATAGGCTAGCATAGACCTCAGAGGACTTCCATTGGTGCAGGTCATGTAGAAGACACTCTGCTCTAAAACATTATAGTCAGGGTATATTGAAGAAAGGCACAATGGTAGCATAAGCTGAAATATCACAGTAACTGGTAACAGTAGCACTGAAAAGATGCCAACACACACCAAAAGCTGTGCTTGTAGCATCTTCACCACAACCAGAGCTATCATGCCAACACTAACACAGGTTGCTAGCACAGTTACACCATTATTTCACTGTACTTCATGTACACAATCTGTATTCAAAGAGAGCATTCCCACTGTACTTTGTTCTAATGGTAACACATTAGGTCCAGTAATTAGTCTGAAAGATCACTATGTCATAAAATATTTCATTCCTGCAGTATTGCATATTTTCTGCTCCTATAATCCAGAGTAGGAAGCAGAGGTGTAAGGTGCTATGAAAGCCCAGATGTACTTTGAAGACAGAATGCTTTGGTGGCTTTATTACCATGCTATGCAAGTGAACTCTTTGGTCTTTAGTTGCAAAGAGAACCACTCCCTTTCCCCCCGAACTAAAATCAAAGACCTTCTGGGGGATCATAACTGTATGTTTTCAATATAACAGATAGAGTTTGGATAAGCAAATTATAGCTTCTGCACAATGGTGAAGTTGTTTAAAACCAATAGGTGGAATGCTCAGAAAACCAAGTCATTGAATTTCCCCAAGCCCAGCGCATCCGTACCACAGCTTCCAGCAGAGCAACTGACTAATCAATGTCATATCATACCTAAATCCCACTGTGCCTATCAGCATGTTATCTTTACTGGTCTTGGACTAAAAATTAGCTCATCATAACAGGAACGTAAGTCAAATAAGCAGCACAAATGTTCTATAAGGCAAAAGAGGAATATTACAATACTTTCTAATACCATTTAATATTTTGGCATCCCTTCAGCACAGATAAAATGGAACAGCCCAGAGGGCAGAATAGATATTTTGTGCCATTGTCTGACAGCCTATAGTCAGGATTTGGGCTGGACAAAACCCAATAAATACAATGACCAAAGTACTTATTATAATCAGGAACAGAAAAATGACTGTATTAGGTATTTTTTTTTTTTGGTTGTACAGGATTTTATTCTGTTTTCACATGTATGATTGAATGGCATTATAAGATTCAGTGGGATTAACCAGGATTCCTGTAGGGAGGCTAGAAAAATCATCTAAAGCTGACATGCTTACCAGACTCACTATAAGAATCTTAATATGTATTTCTAGATCTCTGGCTGTTAGGAACAAGGGAGAGAGAGAGAATTTTGAAAGCATCTCCAAGGAAAGTTTTATTGTGGTTAGAGAAAACACCAAGGAGAATTGGTTTCTATTTCCAGTGTTTCGATTTATTTGTTTGTTCATGTGGTGTTTGGTTGCCTTTGTTTGCTTGTTATTAAAGGAAAGATAAAGTAAGTTTGTCTACATGTGGGAGCAGAACAACTTTCTTGAATAGTCTTACTATAGTTTACTAAATCCATTCTGGTTTTACTAGAACAGTGAACACAGGACTGCCTTGGGCCAGCCATCTTAATTCACTGCCAAGTAAATCGAGGTAGTCAAGAACAACACATGTTCATCCAGACAATAAGCTTCCACACATCGAGTTATTCAATGATGCTGTTTGAAAGCCTTATTTTTCTTTACAGCAAATTAGCTTACAAGTGCAAACAAGCCTCCAGATACCTTACAGGGAAATTGAGGGACTGTTTTCATTACTGTTCATAAAGTGCTCTCAGATTCCAGGATAACACAGTCTACAGATGACTGAAAAGTGTTCTGTCACTCTATTAGAAAAGCCTTTTTTACTGACACCTGAGAAATAGACAGACAACTGCTTTGTATGTGTGTAAACTATCCCACTTATTTTGCAGTGGGATATTATGAATGAGGAAAGAGACTGAATCTTTAGCTCAGAAAACCCATGTAAAGCTAACCTGAATTCAGGGGATCTGCTTTTTAGCCTCCACACTCAATCTTTTCTCTACTGAATCTGGAATAGCCCAGATATTATCATACATATGTGATGTATACAAAAAAAAGAGGTTTCAATATGATGGTAAGGCAAAAGGTAATGATGCGAATGGATGCTACTACTGGGAAACACTGAGTGACGTATAGGATAATATTGGATAATATTATTGGATAATAATATTGAATAATATTATCCTACAGTAGATGCTAGTACAGGAAGGCTGAAGAGAAACCAGGAGAGCCTAAAAAATTAGATGAATAAGTGATAAAATAGCAAAATAATGTTCTATGCACCAGTCTCTCTTAAAGTGAATACAGGTCTGTTTTCTTGTCTCAGAGTAGGCAGCTCTCTATCACTGCACGCACAGCCAGCCAGTGGCTGATGTGAATATACCATTTAACAACCAAGGAAGTCTAAGCAGGGCCTGGAAAAAGGAATGGGAGCAGAAAGTGCTGCCTTTTCATGAGTGATTTCATTATCTAAAATTATTTTTCATTCCAGGTAGAAGTGGAACTCAGAACATCTCTAAATTCTCCTCAAATAAAGTAGCAGTCTCTTCTAATCTATGTAAGGAGGCAGTCTTTGAACTGTTGGCTCTTCCTGTAAAGACATAGGCTTAAGGGCTATTAAAAGCTCAGGTATTTCAGCTGTCCATCAGCCCATACAATAAGCAGCTGGAGAGGTTTCAATTGAAAACCAGCCTTGTAAATAAGAGTTTCACTGGAGGTTGTTAAAACAAACTAATCTTGGCAAAACTTTCCATTTCAATAGATTGAAAAAATTAAAAAAGTTTCAGCAGAACTTTTCTGGCCAGCTTTTAACACATTTAAAAGTCTCGTTAGCTGCTCACAGTTTGGTCAAGGCTAATAAACACAGCAAGAAAATTCCTAGAGGCACTGAAATATTGTCTACATACAAAGAAACATGGCTCTCCCAAGCAGGAGCTGTTTATCTTGCCTTGTCTTGCTCTCTTACTACAGACTGCAGCTCCTCTCAGGAGATTTCCCCTTTTCAATCTGCCATGAAGATTATGAAGATTTTAGTAGCAGCGGCAGCAGCCTCTACCTCTTGTCACAGTAGGGAAGAGCATGAGTGAGACCTCCTAGGGCTGCCAGATTCCTCCCAACACCTCATGTCTTGGAGAGACACTGTAAGACTGATAATATCCTAAAGATGAAGTGAGGGAACATCAACATTTGAATATATTAACCTTGGTAATTTCCCTTCCAAGATCTCCCTAGTAGAGCACAGTAGGAAAAACAAAGCAAACTGGAGGCCCCTGAAGCTGTCATTTCCGCTCCACTTCTAACCTTTGGAAGGATTAGAGTTATCAGTGTTCACTGCAGTCTTAGTGTGTCATTTCCTGTTTGTTCACCCAAGGTGACCCCATGTTTGCACTTTCCATGGGGTTGCTCCCAGGCTGAGCTATCAGGAGATGTTAGCTCAGAAAGCTACACAGGCCATAGGAGGCTCTTGAGAGGGAACAAGCTGACATCTACCCTCAAGCAGCTGTTGCCATCCACCCTATTCAAGTTTCTGTAGACCAGAGACTTCTCATTAACAGAGGTCATACTCCTTTTGGTCACCTCATCCCACCTGAAAAAACAGTCAATTCCTCATGAGAGAAATGAAGTGGAAAAAACTCTCCCAATTACCATCTATAACTAGTAAAAATATCCTTCAGTCACAGTAGAATTGTTCATGATATCGATGGGAAAGGTGAAGAAGCAAGTAACACTGATCATAAGGCAATGGATTTTCTGGAGGAGAAGGAAACAGATTTTTCATTCTGTCTGTGATGGTGCCAGGAGGAGATATGGCACTGGGAAGTGAGAATGACAATGGGAACATTCCTTGTGGAATCACATGGATCAAGAACTGAAGGTTTTTCCATAAGTGACTTTTCAAAAAAAGGCTATGGAAGAACGTTGGTGAGACACTCGGAGGAAACTGGTGCTGTTCTGTACCTGTCCTTTCTATACCTTACAGGGATCCCATCCTCAGGACCAAGTCATCTTGAGGGACCCACATTAATGTGTCACAAGATTAAAGCTGGGCCTACTGAAAAACAGCTGATATATGTTTCTCATTTGTAAAGGCCTCACTAAATCACCACTATTTTTGTGTGGTGAGGCACTGGAACAGGTTGCCCAGGGAAGTTGTGGATGCCCCATCCCTGGAGGTGTTCAAGGCTGGGCTGGATGGGGCTTTGAGCAACCTGCTCTAGTGGGAGGTGTCCCTGCCCATGGCAGGGGGGTTGGAAATAGATGATCTTTAAGGTCCCTTCCAACCCAAACCACTCTATGATTCTACGGTTGACCGGGTGGAATTATCTATCTGGAGACCTGGAAGAACTTGAAACAACTAAGCAGTGCTTCTGTGGAGACACTGCATTGTTCTTTAGGAGATGAAGTCCAAGAGGACAGTGGGATCCACAGGGGAGGAGAAAAAAAAAGCATTAAAAAACCTGGACTATAATTCCCGTGAGGCGTAGTAGGAGTTAAAATTAGTTTTAAACTGAGACATTTCAACTTTTCTGAAGTACTAAGTGTGAAAAAGTCAATAGTTTTAACATTAACATTTAACATTTTAACATTATAATTTTTTCATTTGTATGTTATATAAATTCAGGATAAAACCATGGGATTTTGTTCCCTGTGAGGTATAACCCAGCACTAACAAACAATCCATCTCACTTAAGCACAAAAGCACCATTTACCTGTATACTTGTGAAGAGAATCTCCATACCCTGGGAACAAAGGAAAGTTTCTCTGCCCAGCTGGATGTTGGTGATGTGCTTTAGGCAGAGCAGAAGACCCCTACGAATATAGATGTAGTTGTTGGAGACGTCATTGCGATGCCAGTCTTGATAGAGTCTCAGCAATCCACCCAGGTAGCCTCTGTTCACGGCCCGTCGGCTGTTAGATTCTGAAAACAGAGAGAAAAGGAAGAATTAAACTCTTTCCACTATTCATGCTGTTTGACAACCACATGGTTACTCAATGTTCAAGCTTAGACTTTTAACACCTGCTCATTCTTGCTTAATGGTCTCAGTTAATTTCATTTATTTTTTTTTCCCCACACAGTGAAAGGTGTTGTTATTTGCTAAGCATGAACTAGGCTCTTGGATTTGTACATGAAAAAAAAAAATGTGCGGTCTCTCTCCTGTCTAGGTGGAAATGGCTGCTCCAGAAGCCTTCAGATGAACCAAATTCTGGGTGGGGAAAGGGCAGAGCCCATATCTCCTTTCAAATGCTAATAAACTTAATTCCACTTGCAGCAGTATATGAGCTCCTGAAACTAAAGAAGCTCCTGAGGAATGAGTAAAGCTAAAGAACAATAAGATTAGTCAACAGCAGGTCATATAATCTTCACATAGTACTGTATTTCAGTCCTGAGAGAACACCTTGCTGAGATCAACAAATACAGAAGCCTTGTAGTTGTACAATCCTGTCACAGCCAGCAAAATTGTGTTTAACTTTCGAACACACACCTGTATACAAAAGCCATGAATCAAATGGTTCTGGAAAACCACAGTATTTAAAAATTAGCAAAACACCAACATAAGCAGCAGCAGTTTGGGTTTTTTTTCTGTTGCTTTCTGGTTCTATAATTTTAAAGGTCACATTCAGGTTACGTTTAAAGGCTTTACTGTACAGACAAGCAAATTTATTTTTTTTTTTAAATAAGCTTTATAAAAATACAAGAGGAAAGCTGCGACATTTCCTTAATCATGTAGCTCCAGGATACTAGACGAAAAAGAGAAGATTATAAAACTTGTCATAAAATACAAATTCTGCTGAGTATTGTAAAACACAGCCCTTCACCCACTGGGCTCGTTGCCCTGCCCCACAGGACAAACATGAAGCCATACCAGACTCTAGGCTCCCTCCCTTCAAACCAACCTTGCCTAAACCTATTTTCCTGACTAGTCCTGACATTCCTCACTGTGACACACATTAGAAGCTGTCAGGAGCTCAGTAATCAACCAAGGGGCCAGGTAGCATACATAAGGCTGGAGCTCAGCTCCCTGAATACCAATCGGCATTTGCAGCCTACAACAGATGGCTCTTGGTATGGGTTCTCCAGAGCTAGTAGGCTCCAATTCATTTCCAGTTCATTAAACAAAGTGGCAGAGCCTCTCACACCTGGAACGTTAAAGTCATCAGTAGGGATTTACAGGACAGGAGAAGCAGCTAGAGGTTAAGAGAGAGAACATAAAGGGGTAAGATGTTGCATGAAGAAAATAAGTGACAAAGGAAGCCATGGAGAGAGTAACCAAGAAGCAGGTAGTAGGCAGCAAATCTCAATCCCAATGATGAAGTAGATGGAGGTATTGGAAAGGGGAAGTCATCTGAGTTTGCTCTCTGTAATATATTAGCAAACTCTTACCCAGAGAAGGGATTGGAGGGTAGTTCTGCTATCTGGTCTTGTCCTACAATTTTCTCTACCATTGGCACCACTGGGCAGGCAACAAACAGTAACCCCAGACCAGTTTCCCAACTCATTTTAATCCTGCTCTGCACCTTCACACCATCCTGTTGACATGCCTCCACACTGATCTGCTAGTCCTCCAGCTATTCCAGTCCTACATAGCTCTGCCCAGTTTCCTCCGCCTTGGCCTGCAGTCCTCCCTAGCGCTTTATCCCCTTGTTGTTAACCATCTCACACTAACTCTGCCAAGTACTTCTTTTATTTTGGGGCTCAGTGGTTGTCAGCGTGTAGAAGGTCATCCTTCTCCTTTGACCTTCACTCTGTTTCTTTTTTTCTATTTGACTTTCCGCAAGAAAACTTTAATTGCTTGAAAATCCTTTATCAATCCCAATGATTTTATTCATGATTTCCTGTTAATCCTCAACCAGCTGTCATGTTTAGTAACCTGCAGGATGACTAACCCCTTAAATCAGTCAATCTTCCTTGAAGAATTACTCAGGAAGCTCTGTAAAAGTCAATAAGTATATAAAACACGACAAGAAGAAGAGAGTCAGGGAATGCAAGGTAGGGACAATTTGGATCAAACTCAGAGCTTCTCTGAACTGTTCAGAGGCAGATGAAATTGGACTAGATCTAGGGATTTATAGCCCCTAGCATTCAGTGCTTGAAGTCTTAGCTTTCTGCGTCAATGTCAATAGGACAAGGTAAATACTGGAAAACACTGTGGGTAAAGCTGTTGGGGAATTTATTTAAAAATTTTTTAAAAAAAGGATTCTCATAAAACACATTTGTGATATTTTCCTCACCTTTTTCAAGACAAACTTCCACATTTGGATCCCAGCTCCATAGGGACCAAAACACGTAACTGTCCCATGCCTCAGTTTTATCACTGGATGAAAAACATGGAGGAAGCTGAGCAAAATAACTTCACTATTTGTTTCCCCTTATGTTTTCTATAGCAGTTATCACCTTTAAGATCAAAACAGTTGCTTTCAAAAGTGAAGCTGAGATAGTCTGTTCTGTGAGGAGATGGAAGAGGCAGGACTATAGTTCCCTCAGCACTTTGATTAGAAGCAATGAGAATTACTGGCTGAAGGGGCAAAAAAAACATTCATTTTGTTTCTTCTGTCTGATTTCATTGATTCTCCTTTGCTCCTCTGTGTTGTCAGAGTTTTTCTTATTTTTGTGCCATTTTTTTCTGTTGTATAGTCAATAAAGTAGCAAATAAATGAAGGGGGAAATATGCCAAGGTCTCCAGAAGGCAGAATGGAAAAAGAAGGCCTCCCCACCTGTCTGTGTCTGTTGGTCTCTCCATCTAGGGATGCACCTACATGGGTATGTATCTATATTTTGGCACAAATACAGATGGTGGAAATGAATCATACAGGTACAAGCAGCACGGCACAGATTTTTAGGCAGCAAGAACCCACTCCTCCTGGAGTGAGCATGCATGATCTGCGTGATAAGTGGTAAAATGTCCTATGCCTTTTGACCCTTTTGCTGGTATTCTTTTCATAGTCCCTTTCATTCTTCCTGGATATGGTCAGTGTTCAGTTGAAATTCTCCTTCCACACAGCCTTCAGAAGTGCTCAGGGATGGTGCTTCCTATTTTGATTTATGCTTGGTCTTGCCTTCCTAGTCTTATTCTGGCATCTCTGACAGAGAAGTGCTGTCTTCATCGCCTTCCCCCAAACCAGTCACTGGCAGAATATTTTCTTTGCAAGGGTTTCAATTCTGCCTGCTAAGGCTGGGATGAACCATAGGGGAATGCTCAATGTCTTCTTAGTCTCCCGCGTTTCTAGAATTGACCCTCCATGTCTGGCCTCCAGGGCAGTGCTGCCAACCAGAAAGTTGAAGTGCTGCAGCACTTCAGATACATTCAGTATCTGGCCTGAATAATATGTGCATTTAAGCCGGAAACATTTGACATGGATGCACAGCCACTGTGTAGAAGCATCAAATGGTTAAAGATGTATCTAAATTAGCAAGGGCATGACACTACAAAGAAATTTCCAGTTTTAGCAGAATTCTGATTTTTTGTTGGAGGACAAGGACAGACTCTAAAGCTAACATTTTAATCTAGCAGATAAAAGTCTCATGACTGCTAGTGTTTTTGTGGACATCTCTGAAGCCCTCTTCACATTCCAGTCCCCTTTGAAGTCTTTGCCAGGAACACAAGGACCACTGGAAAACATGCAGCATATTTAATCACAAAACTGAATTATAGTCAACCTGAAATATGATGAGCAATGCACTGCTTACCAGGCAGAACAAAGAGATATTTATCTTTCTGTCTATCTGCTTAAATCTCTTTGTTGATGCCACTCAGCTGATTCATTATGCCAAGAACATACATTGCTACAGTTTGGAGATAAAACTGCTCTGCTAAATTAACCCTATGGCCCCTAAGAGGGAAGAAAGGAATAAGAAAATCCCCAACTTCTTCACTCCACTCTAGCAACTGCTTCTTGGGAATAAAAGATGCAAGATACCTTCTAAAGCAAAGGGAAAACAGCTATTGTATTCAGTCATTGAGAGGCCATTTTTGCTAGAGATAAGCATGAGGATTCCCTACAGAAACAAAATTAATTGTCCCCATGGAGAAACCCAGTCACCCATGAAGTGCTGGGATGAATTCAGACCTAGCGGGCTCTACAGTTCCAGCAAGAAGCTGATATTAGTTCAACTCTTGTTGGAAGCCAGAAGACTTCTCTGATTGTGCCCCATAAACTTCAGGGTTAGGGCATTTATTTAACCATTTAGGATAGATGAACAATGCTGGCACGCCGGTAGAGAACGCAGGCAGGATTTGCTAGGAGCTACCAGTGGCATGTTTTGCTCCTAGACCAGGAATCATCCACAAGCTTAGCTTCAGTACAAAACCAGCTTCTTTCTACTCAAAAATAGTTGCTTTAGTTCCAGGTGTTGGCTAATTCAGCTGCAGTCTTACAAACTGTATTATGACATTGGGATTATTCTCTAATTTCCTTTGTTACATTGTTCATATGTAAAAATTAAGAAAGAACAATCCAGCCCCTTCCAAACTTTTGAACTAACCCCAGAAGAAAACTGATTTTCAAAAAGGTTTCCTTTTTCTCCTTTACTTTTCGGTTTCACAGCATCTTCTGGTTGGAACTCAGAGAGCTGGCAATCCATGAAAGCATACTTTACGCACAAAATTTCCAGCTTGATTTTTCTGACCAAAGTGATTTGAAAAAGTTCAAATAAGGATGCTAGAATTTGGAAGACTTCCTCAGACTCAGTCACTGAATTTTCAGAAGCCAAATCATCACTGGAGGCACAAACACTGCCCATGCCAAGACAAAGGCAGTAAGCAATGGCTATTAAGGATGTCAGAGAATAATACAGCTCCTCGACACTTTTGTTCCATTATACCCACCCTGAGGAGCAAAACAGTGGGAAGCTGCCATGCCCCAGAAGATAAAACCAACCTTTTTCTCTGGTTCACCGAGTTCCTTTCATATACATTCATA